TCGTTATTCCCTATTAAATATACACAAATCTTCCATTAGTGATTTGTTCTGTATTGTTAAAAACAATAGGTAAGCTTAAAATTTATGTCTTTACCTGGTAGGGTCATGCTATAGAAAAATAAGCGTAAAATTTATTTATTTCCATGTTAGGAAATATGCTTTGGAAGGAGAAGGAGGTAAAAAAAAAAGCCTCCAGATTTTTCGGAGACACGGTGTCCGGACGATAGTCTTAAAATATTAAAATTACTTATCCTTCAGGTTTGTTTGAATTAAGGGCAAAAAAAAGAAGATAGATAGATAGAAACGATTCTATTAAGTACGTTAAATATCTTTAATTCCATTTAGTATGTTACAGATGAAACATTAGCGTAAAATTAGTTCGTCATGTTTAAGCCATGTATTTATTCTATGGTTCTAGCTTCGACCTTGTATATATTCATGTGAAATATTGTCGTATCAATCTTAAATCTAAACCTAAAATTCTATCGCTACTCCCACCCTCCCTTATTTTAGCGAATTATTTCTAAATTTCAACGGTTCAAGTCCATATCACCTCTTTTAACACTTATCTTTATGTATACATCCTAAGCCAAACAAAAGCAATTCGAGACAATGACAAAAGCTCCTCTACAAAATATATTCCAAATTTTAAACCTCACTTGATAGGCTTCTTCAATCGGCTCTGCCTAGCTACAACGTCGGCAAAAATTAGAGGTAGAAAACAATGTGGGTTTCTTTTTTTGTTATAAGCCTAATTCAATCATTTGCCTCCCCTTCCCTTATCTTTACTTTATTAATTTTAGAGGGTGAAGAAAAGTCTCATTGAGAACAAATGAAAAAGGTGAAGAACAAGTATTTAACCATCTTTATATTTGGATACTGCTTCAAATAATAAAAATCATAAAAACATAGATGTGGGAAAAGGTACTACGACACTTATGCTTCGAGAAACTGTTTTGGCTATAATATAAGGTAAGATAGGAAATCTTTATTTGAAAAATTATTTTAGCTATATACTTTTGTCTGTCATGATTAACGGTTTCATTCCTAATCTCATATTCATAATTTCCATAAGTAGATGCAGCAAGTCAGACAGACTACCTCTCATGTGTTTAATTGAACCACTTCTTTAATCAAGATTATTTTCTCATTGCAAACAAAATCTATTATAATTTGAACCATTCGGGCAAAACTTGTTCTGAAGAATTTGAGGATAACTATAACCAGGAGTACAAAATTACTGGATTAAGTGACAGTCCTGCAAAGAGCAATTGTATAGTTTCTCTGTTTTATTTGATCTTATTAATTTTTTTTTTTTTTACTACTTTGGTTTCCATTGTTTGGCATGGTCTGAAGTTGTACCATTTTATCAACTTTTCAGGTTTTCATTAGAGCAGAAAAAGAAGGATAATGCTGGTGAATTTCAAACCACTGAAGTAACTGTTTATGATTACTTTGTTAATAGCCGTAACATTGATTTGCCATATTCTGCCGATCTTTCTTGTATCAATGTCAGGAAGCCTAAGCATCGAACTTACTTCCCTATCGAGGTAAAACTGTTGTATTTCTGGTTCAGTTTAATCCCAGATGTATCCCTCCTTCACTGTTGCTATTATTTTTTGAGATTTTTTTTTCCTTAATTGGAAATAAATCACACTAATATCCAAAAGACATGAGTTTGATTGGTTTGCCTTTGTTCTTCCAGCTATGTTTAGTGGAAAGAAGACTGTTCAAATAATTGTAAGTTCTCTCTTTGCAATCCCCTCTGGCTCTGGATGTCTCTGCTCTCTGTCTACATTCGAAGGGGAAGAGTCAGATAAAAACAGAGATGGTGTCGATGAGGTGAAGTGAATCTTTGAATAATAATAACAACAAAAACAATAAAAATAAGAAACCATCTTCTCCGGCGGAGTCTTCATCACCAAAGCGTCAAAAAACACTCTCTCTCTATAGTTTTCACAGTTTTTGAATTGTTTAACTTGAATCATTCATTTTGAATAATTCTCTCTTTTTTATCTATTTTTTTGACAGGGCGAGAGTAGTAATTGTAATAATAACAATTCAAAAGCATCGGAGAAATCAACTCCGCCAGCAGAGAGTCCCAAGGATAAGAGCTCCACCAATCCAGCACTAGAACTTCCAGCCGCTGGCTCCGTCTATGATGCCACTCCCATAGTTGCAGAAGGCTAGAGTTTATTCAATTTTTGAAATTAAACAAATTCATATTCTTTGTATGTGCTCGTAAAATGCAGTAAAATGCAGAAAACGTGGCAGTTAATTTTTTGGTTTCTTGTTTTGGAATTTCAGGCACCACGCTGGTGATAGTTGACAAGTCAAGGAGCTCATCCACTTCCTGGAATCAGCATCAAGGTCGACAAACTTCTTGGCTTTGACATAGGCTTCTGAATGAATTCCCGAAGGTAATTTATTTTTCCTTTTAACTAGATTTTTAAATATTTTCGGTATGAAGGTCCTGGTTTACAACAATAGGTAAGCTTAAAATTTATGTCTTTGCCTGGTAGGGTCATGCTATAGAACAATAAGCGTAAAATTTATTTATTTCCATGTTAAGAATTATGCTTTGGAACGAGAAGGAGGATAAAAAAAAAAGCCTCCAGATTTTCGGAGACACAGTCTTCGGACGATGGTCTTAAAATATTAAAATTACTTATCCTTCAGGGTTTGTTTGAATTAAGGCCAAAAGAAAGAAGATAGATAGGTAGAAACAATTCTATTAAGTACGTTAAATATCTTTAATTCCATTTAGTATGTTAAAGATGAAACATTAGCGTAAAATTAGTTCGTCATGTTTAAGCTCCTCTACAAAATACATTCCAAAATTTAAAGCTCACTTTATAGGCTTCTTCAATCGCCTCTGCTCGGCTACAAGGTCGGCAAAAATTAGAGGTACGAAACAATGTAGGTTTCTTTTTTTGTTATAAGCCTAATTCAATCATTTGCCTCCCATTCCCTTATCTTTACTCTATTAATTCTAGAGAGTGAAGAAAGGTCTCATTGAGAACAAAAGAAAAAAGTGAAGAGCAAGTATCTAACCATCTTTATATTTGGATACCGCTTTAAATAATAAAAATCATAAAAACATAGATATGCGAAAAGGTACTACAACACTTACGTTCGAGAAATTGTTTTGGCTATAATATAAGGTAAGATAGGAAATCTTTATTTGAAAAATTATTTTAGCTATATACTTTTGTCTGTCATGATTAATAGTTTCATTCCTAATCTCATATTCACGATTTCTATAAGTAGATGCACCAGACAAGCAGGAGCGTAAAAATAATAGACTACCTCTCATGTGTTTAATTGAACCACTTCTTTAATCAAGATTATTTTCTCATTGCAAATAAAATCTATTATAATTTGAACCATTCAAGCAAAACCTGTTGTGCAGAATTTGAGGATAACAATAACCAAGAGTACAAAATTACTGGATTAAGTGACATCCCTGCAAAGAGCAATTGTATAGTTTATCTGTTTTATTTGATCTTATTAATTTTTTTTTTTTTTTTACTACTCTGGTTTCCATTGTTTGGCATGGGTCTGAAGTTGTACCCTTTTATCAACTTTTCAGGTTTTCATTGCAGCAGAAAAACAAGGATGATGCTGGTGTATTTCAAACTACTGAAGTAACTGTTTATGATTACTTTGTTAATAGCCATAACATTGATTTACCATATTCTGCCGATCTTTCTTGTATCAATATCAGGAAGCCTAAGCATCGAACTTACTTCCCTATCAAGGTAAAACTGTTGCATTTCTAGTTCAGTTTAATCCCAGATGTATCCCCCCATTCACTGTTGCTATTATTTTTTGAGATTTTTTTCCTTAACTGGAAATAAATCACACTAATATCCAAAAGACACAAGTTTGATTGGTTTGCTTTTGTTCTTGCAGCTATGTTTAGTGGAAAGAAGACTGTTCAAACAATTGTAAGTTCTCTCTTCGCAATCCCTCCTGGCTCTGGATGTCTTTACTCTCTCTCTACATTCAAAGGAGAAGAGTCGGAAAAGAACAGAAATGATGTCGATGAGGCGAAGTGGATCTCTGCTTTCGAATAATAATAACAAAAACAATAAAAATAAGAAATCATCTTTTCCGGCGGAGTCTTCATCACCAAAGCGTCAAAAAGCACACACACTCTCTCTATAGTTTTCACAATTTCTGAATTGTTTAACTTGAACCATTCATTTTGAATAATTCTCTCTTTTTTATCTTTTTTTTTTTTACAGGGCCAGAGTAGTAATTGTAATAATAACAATTCAAAAGCGTTGGAGAAATCAACTCCATCGGCAGAGAGTCCCAAGGATAAGAGCTCCACCGATCCAGCACTACTTCCGGCCGCTGCCTCCGTCTCTGATGCCACTCCCATAGTTGCAGAAGGCTAGAGTTTACTTAATTTTTGAAATTAAACAAATTCATATTCTTTGTATGTGCTCGTAAAATGCAGTAAAATGCAGAAAACATAGCGGTTAATTTTTTGGTTTCTTATTTTGGAATTTCAGGCAACACGCTGGCGATAGTTGATAAGTCAAGGAGCTCATCCACTTCCTGGAAACAGCATCAAGGTCAAGAAACTTCCTGGCTTTGACATAGGCTTGTCAATGAATTCCCGAAGGTAATTTATTTTTCCTTTAACTAGATTTTTAAATATTTTCGGTATAAAGCAGAGGTCCTGGTTTACTTTAGTTGGAGTTGGTGAGTCTTGATTTATCATTTTTGTATTCTGGATGCTGAATTTTGGTATCTATTTTGATGAGTGTTGGATTTGAAAGAGTAAATGCTTTTGTTGTTTGATTACAGAACCCAATTGTTTCAGTTTATACTCCGAATTTCTCNTTCGATAGTGAACAAGCCTTAATCTCTTTCATTACGAGATTGGAATTGAATCAAGATGATTGATCCTCTTGCCATTGATCGGGTGAGATCGTGACGGTAAATGGCCATTGAATGGATTTCACTAATAGATATAATGAGATCAGACTTAATCGATCAAGATCACCTGCTATTAGGAAAAAAATGGTTTATTTGTTTTCCCATATGATGAGCTAAAACAATTTAATGATTGAAATGAGACTGATCAACGCTGTGTGACAACTACTTGTGGTCTTCCTAACAAACGGATCCAGGTTATACAGTTTGGTCTTTGATGGCTCGGATCGGCTAAGTCCATTGATCTGGTAGGCTAGGCTAAGAGATCGGAAAAGATGGGCTAGGGTGGGGTCAGAAGATGGTCCCTGCGATCATACCTCTCTTCATCTAATAGCACAGGACGGTGGGCAAGAATCAGACTATGGAGAAGGTTTGTTTTTTCAATGATCAATCAGAAGAGATAGACTAATAGTAGGAATGTAAAATGAACTAGACAGCATCATCGTATGGGGAAGGATAAAGATGAGAAAGAATCACATTCCTCTGTCAAATACAATATAAGTAGAGTAAAGTCGAGTAGATGAACTGAATCAGTATGGTTCGCTTGGTCGTAGTCTCAGTCTGCTTTCCCTGCCTTGTCTGATGATCCAATGTGAGACTTCATTCATCAAGATTTGCATTGTTTTATTCTTTATAGCTTTCTCGCTCCAAGCATAGTTGTAGTACACACTTATCCTCTACTCGCCTGGACCCCTATAAAGTCCTCGAAATGGGCTACTACTAAAACTATTATGTTCGATGCGTCAAAATATCTACTTGATAAATTAGATTGTCAGCCATTTGAGAATTTTATTTTAATCTCTTTGAAATGTTCATACCTTATATTTTTCATAGCAACCTTCTTTTAATATTTTGTTGTATCTGTATTCCTTTCTGTATAAATCTTTACTTATTTCTAGGTTGTTTTGTTACAATATTTTCAACAGATATAAATAGTTAAAACTTTTTCATCTCTTCATCAGGAAAATGTATAGAATGCATGGATAACAATCTCAGGGATGGAGGTATGGAGAAATACCTCCATGCAGGGATTAATGGAGGCATTTCTTCATGCCTCCATCCTTGGATGGAGGCATAAACAAATGCCTCCATCCAAGCTTGGATGTAGCTTGTATGGAGGCATTTCTCCATGAGGACAAATGCCTCCATCCTAGGACAAATGTAGGCATTTCTTCAACGATGGAGGCATGAAGAAATACCTCCATCCAAACTTGGAGCTTGTATGGAGGCATTTCTCCACACTTCCATCCAAGCTTGGATAGAGCTTGGATGGAGGCATTTCTCCATACCACCATCTAAGGATAGAAGCATGAAGAAATGCCTCCATCCAAGCTTGGGTAAAGCTTGTATGGAGGCATTTTTCCACAGCTCCATCCAACCTTGGATAGAGCTTGGATGGAGGCATTCCTCCTTGCCTCCAAACTTGGATGAAGGCAAGGAGAAATACCTACATCCTGGGACAAATGAAGGCATTTCTTCATGCCTCCATCCTTGGATGGAAGCATGAAGGAATGCCTCCATCCAATCTTAGATGGAGACATTTGGATGGAATGTCTCCATCCAAGAACAATGAAGGCAGTTCTCTATCCACTGCATGGAGCTTTTGTACATGCCTCCAAGGATGGAACCGTGAAAAACTATCTCCATCCTTGGATGGAGATTGAATGGAGACACTTCTTTATATCTCCATCCACTGGATAGAGGTTTTGTGTATGCCTTCATCCAAGTTGTATTTGATGTCTTCATCCAGATTACTATTTAGCATTCACGTTTCATCTTCTCATCTTTTAACTTTGATTGTGCATCATTTACACCATATTTGAATCACAACAGCATTCCCATGTTAACATTCTTGAGCGTTTTTATATCTGATTCATCCTTTACATTTCTTTTCTTTTCATCACTAGACATTAAATTTAATTGAAGTAATAATTCCTGTATGTACAGTGACCAGGACTCCACAGCTTAAACATTAGAAAAAGCATAAAAGGCCAACGTTGAGTTTCGCTTCCATTTCTAAGCACAAAACCACCCAATTCAATAAAGATCTTCTATTTGTACTTCATTTATAGGTAATGAAATTTCATAATTCCAGTTTTATATTTGGTTTATACGATTGTTAGTGATTGCAATTTCATAAAATATGTATCATATATTTTTTTATTGGAAGCATTTTTTCTTCCCTCCATCCTATCCAAGGATCAATGCATAAGAAATTGCTTCCATTTATCCCAGAATACAGGCGTTCCTCCATACCTCCATTCTTGGATAGAGATAAGAAGAAACATCTAACGGCATTAAGAATTGCCTCCATTTGTCCCAAGCATTTTTCCTTGATGAAAGCAAGAAGAAATACCTCCATGCAGGGAGAAATAGAGGAGAAACTAAATGCAGGAAAATGGCCTATGTGAGCAAGCTTTTCAGAATTACATATTTACATCTATCTGAAAATAGTACATATTGAATTGAGAAAATTTTAGTAGAGGCATATTAAGTTATTACATAAAAAATAGACTACAAATTAATTAACACACCACTTTCCCTTTAAACACGTCTTCTTTTTTCAATCATTTACTATTAAGATTTTGTATTTACTTCCAATCAGTTAAGCCAATTCTTTTACCATCGGTTTTTGGAAGAAATTTATAGAAAAATAAATTATGCAGACAATCAAATCACAAAAACAACACGTCAAAAAACCTTGAATATTATAAATAAATCTATACTTCTGCTGTACTTTGATAACTTTGACTACTTTCTCTCTAACTTCTTAACCTAGACCCATATTTCCAGGAAAAAGTACAAAAATTATCTTTATCCTTTTTTTCTTTTGATCTTATTTGCATAAAAAAATATCTACAAATACTTCTATATATATACCTACTTTACTACTTCACAATTACTTCTACACTAAGAAAAAAAAAGATTTATGCATTCCACACAAGGTATGAATAACTTCATGTCATATAAGTTTTCAATATTTATTCATTCACTCATTTCATATTGTTTATAATTTTTTTTTTCCTCTCAAGACTCAACACTGAAGAAGATGACAGAGAATTACAAATTCATTTCAGACATCAATCCAACTGAAAGGAATTGGCAGGCAAAAGTGATTGTTGCCTAGAAAATGTCCCCTAAACAAGCAAGAAACAGCAATAGCAAATATCAAAATTTAGTCATCACGGATTTCACGGTAAATACCTTCATAAATATCTTTCATAAACTGTATTTCACGGTAAACACCTTCATAAATATCTTTCATATAATCCATCGAACATTAAGATATAGCTTAATATATTTATATCATTTACCATTTCTTATTCCTTATCTATAATAGGGAAATATAGTGCACACAACATTATATGATGGAAATATCAATGCATTTGAAAATCAGCTACTGTTAGGCAAAACATACGTTATCTCAAATGCGATTGTGAAAGATACCAAGCCTGAATACAAAGCTTTAAATGATGATTTTCAATGGACAATAACCAGAAAGACCCGAATCCAGGACTTGAACGAGAACAATATGGAGTTTCTCTTCTCGACATACACATTCGCTCATTTTGATCAACTCGAGAAATACATGGATTCCAACGACGATATAAGTAGCTCTCTAATCCTTAGATTTTTTCTTATCTATACCTTATATTTTCCTTTCGGCTTATCAATGTATTGTCTCCTTTACTATTTATTGGCTTCTTATTATATATAATGTCTTTCTAGGCATCCTTGCTATTGCTATTGATATGAAGCCAAAACGTCTCATTCAGACAAGATATGGAAACCAAACATATGTGCAAGATGTTGTATTGATTGATAAAAACTTCAATACAATTATCTTAACGATGTGGGATAGTTATGTTGAAAAAGAATGCATTCTCCTCGCAGAAAAAATTGTTAAAAGACCTGTCATCTTAGCCAACCAGCTCAAAGCTTCATCTTTCAACGGTAATCACTTAAACCTTCCTATCTAATTATTTTTTATCCATGACAAATTTATGTTAATCTATATACAAAACTGCATGTCTTACATTGTCAACTAAAATCAACAGCACGTTTTTCATAGATGCTACATTTAACAGAGTTACAGACCTTTGAGCATGGTAAACTGTTATCATATACTTTGCATTACCTAGATGTCATCAAATATGTTACACTTATAAAGTATATAATACAAGGGTGGAGGCACATGCTGAAGAGTTAAATGAATTCACATTGGAGAAATCACTTGCAATAACTCCAACCAAATTGTCTCCTCCAAGCCACAAAAATTTTACTGAAATACAGAATATAAAAGGCCGATTACTAGGGGTAATTTATTTCAATTATATAAATACTATTTGTTTATGTTTTTTATTTTATTTGCTTTTACTTATCAATATTTCAACAGCGCAAATACTTCTGGATTAAAGCCAAAGCAACTATCATAGCAAGAAAACAAACTTACTGG